GAAAGCTTTTGTGTGTTAAAACTTCTGTGTGTAAAAGCTTCTGTGTGTAAACGCTTTTGTGTGTAAAAGCGTCTGTGTGTGAAAGTGCCTGTATGTAAAAGCTTCTGTGTGTGAAAGCTTTTGTGTGTTAAAACTTCTGTGTGTAAAAGCTTCTGTGTGTAAACGCTTTTGTGTGTAAAAGCGTCTGTGTGTAAAAGCTTCTGTGTGTAAAAGTGTTTGCGATGCAAACTATTGTCTTGTACTTGTGCTATATTGTCTTGATACTCCTCTTCTCGACTGCCTATAACACATCCTTATCCTCCTGCCAATTTCCACTACTAAATGCTATGACCTAGGTCCCGGAAAGTGAACCAAAAATTTAGTGTGAAATTTCTAGAAGCCATTTAGTAGAGAATCATGATCTTTCAAAAAAAAACAAGTAAACATCTCTAGACCCATGATCCACATTTAGTAGAGAGGTAACAATGATATGTTAATCATATGATGTCAAATGTTGTTTTTTGGGTAAAACCATTTAGTAGAGATGTCAAAAAAATGTTGCAAAATCACAGGAACCATTTTGTAGAGGTTGCGAAGTAGAGTTCATAAAACGGTCACAATGAAATGAGACAAAACTGAAAAACCATTTAGTAGAGATTCCCATTCCGTAACCGTTTGGCCAACCCACCGTGCTGCCTTGCCTTTTTGGGGGCGATGCCAAATCCCTCGCTTGGGTGTTTCTTGCTCGTCGGGTGCTGCCTTTCGTGTTTGGGTTCTTGGGGGCGATGCCAAATCCCTCGCTTGGGTGTTTCTTGCTCCTCGGGTGCTTACTAAATGGATGGTCATGGGATCAGTCTATCTAGAACTGTTTCACACAAAGCCCTGTTGCATCCTTGTGTGCCCTATTATCCCTTACGTGCTATGGAACACCATTTTGTAGGCCCAAAATGTCCAAAATCTATCAAGATTTCCCCTGCTTAGCCAAGTGCTGCCTCTACTAATGGATGGTCATGGGATCAGTCATATGTGTTTCATGTTGTTTTCTCTACTAAATGGACCCCGTGTATTTCTCTACTAAATGGCTTTGGGGTTTTGGTCGAGTGATGTTGGTCCCGCAACTTGTGCTCAAATGAGTACCTCTACTAAATGGAACAGGGTGTTTGGTCGAGTCATGTTGGTGTCTTAAGACACTCTGAAATATATATCCAAATTTTGCGCTTCAGCTGAACCAGGGGCCCACATTTAGTAGTGAAATTCGATCATGCATGCGCATCCATTTAGTAGAGCTTGAGGCTATGCAAGCCGTTTCTTCACTACAAAATGGTTGCACAGCCCCACCCCTTAATTGACAGGGGGTTACATCTTTAATATATTGTTTTGTAATATGGTGTCTCCATACTAACAAGAGAAGACCCTGCTCCTCTACGCTCTCGGGCCATCCGTCGTCTAGTTTAAATTTCCAAGTTTTCTGAATTTTCCAAATTTTCTGCATTTTCTGTATGTTCTGTTTTTTTCTGAATTTTCTGTGTTTTCTGAATTCCCTGAATTTTCTGAATTTTATGTGCTTTCATTTTTTTTTGAATTTTCTGCGTTTTCTAAATTTTCTGATTTTTTCTGAATTTTCTGAGTTTTCTGAATTTTCTGAATTTTCTGAACTTTCTGAATTTTCTGAATTTTCCGAATTGCTTTCCTCTTAATTTAAATTGGATTTCTGGTTTTTCTGAATTTTCTGGATTTCGGAATTTTCTGAATTTCTGAATACTCTGAATTTTCCGAATCGTTTTTCTTTAACTTTCTGAATTTTCTGCCTTTTCTGGATTTCTGAATTTTCTGAATTTTATGAAGTGTTTCCTTTTTACTTTAAATCAGAATACTGAATTTTCTCAATTTTCTGGTTTTCTGATTTTTTCAATTTTCTGAATTTCTTGGTTTTCTGAATTTTCTGAATTGTTTTCCTTTTTATTTTAAATTAGTAGAATTCTGAATTTTCTGGTGTTCTGAATTTTCTGAAATGTGTGAATTTTCTGGGTCTCTGATAATTCTGAATTTTCTGGGCTTCTGAATTTTCTTCCCAATTGACCCGGTTAGTTAAAAACGTGGAGAATCTTGATTTTATAGAAAGCGATAGATTTCCAAAGCATATAGGCAACTTGTTTAAAACTATTTTTTGAATTTTTTGGCAAAATGAGTTAAAGAAAAAAACATATTGATTTGCCGTTGCCGATTTCAGCAGATTTTGCCGAAATTTGCGAAGGAGTTTGAAGGCAGTTTGGAAGAAGTTTGGAGGAAGTTTTGAAGTTTCAATGAAGTTCATCCCAACGCCTCACAAGGGTTACAAATCTTGCTTCCCAAACTGCTTCAAACCTTGATCAAACTGCCAGCAAAACTTCCCCAAAGTGCAAGGCAGTTTCAGGGAAATTTCCTTGAAACTTCCTCGCTGCGGAGGGCTTAATCTGCCGATTTAGACAGCATGATCTGCCGAATTCTCCAACTTGAGTTGTCTAAAACGGCAGATATGATTTACCAAAATCGGCAACAGCATAATCTGTCTGTTTCTTAAAAATCAAGATTCTCCAAAGTTTTAACTAGTTAACTAGTGGTCAAGTTTTTGTCTAATCGGGTCTATTGGGTTAATTTTCTGAATTTTCTGGGTTTTCTGAATGTTCTGAACTGCTTTTCTTTTATTTAAATTAGGATTCTGAATTTTCTGTGTTTTCTGAACTGTCTGAAATTTGTGAATTTTCTTTGTTTTCTGTTTTTTTTTGAATTTTCTAGGTTTCTGAGTTTTCTGGATTTTTGAATTGTTTTCCTTTTAATTTAAATTAGGATTATGAATTTTCTAAATTTTATGAATTGTTTCCGACCCTTTTAATTTAAATTAGAATTGTGAATTTTCTGAATTGCTTTTCTTTAAATTAAAATAAATTAGAATTCTGAATTTTCTGTTTTTTTTTGTGTTTTCTGAACTGTTTGATTTTTTTGAATTTTCTTGTTTTTTTTTTGATTTTTTGGTGTTTTGAGATTTTTTCTGAATTCACTGGGTTTTCTGAATTTTCTGTGTTTCGGAATTTTCTGAAGTTTCTGGGTTTTCTGAATTTTCTGGGTTTTCTGAATTTTCTGAATTTTCTGGGTTTTCTGATTTTTCTGAATTTTCTGTTTTTTGAATTTTATGTTTTTGTTTTTGGCTTTTCTTTCTTTACATTTTAATTCCTTTTTAATCTATGTGTTTTCTTCCAAATATATAGTACAATAATAAACATATTTCATTTAAGAACCATTACAACACTATATGTTATGATCCAAAGCTATCATCTCTAAAGCTATCACCTCTTCTTGGCACGCTGCTTGAAGAAAAATCTATAATAACCAAATATTTTCTGACAAGAAAATTTCTTGGAAAATATATTTCCTGAAAAGGATACTTCCTGAAAATGATAATTCCTGAAAAGGATGGTTCCTGAACAGGATAGTATCTTGGAAAGGATATTTTTGGCTAAAAACAACTTACAAACCAAAAAAAGGTAAACCTTCAACCTCTTTTATCTACGAATTTATTTCTTATATTCAAATGTTTTTGCAAATTTTATAAACAGAACGATCCCGCGCATTATCAATTCTAAGCCTTTGAAAGTCTCAAAACATAAGTGCCTGAAGTGAGTAGCAGCGGCAAGTTTCGAGGAATTGACGGGAGAGATGGGAGCTGCTTTCGTCCAAAAATTGAGACAATGTGGACTTGAAAGCTGTGTGCAGAAACTACGCAGAGCAAACAGCAGAGGAAAAGAGATGCCTAAGTTTGGGGGTGACATTCGTCGTTCCTTTGCGCTCAAGCCTACCCGAACATGAATACATCACACCCGTTGATCAGCCTTGCCATTGAAGGGAACTGCCGTCGTCCAAATTGTGAGACAATATGGACTTGAAAACTGCGTGCAGAAACTGCGCAGAGCAAACAGCAGAGGAAAAGAGAGAATTGGAGCTCGAAATTTTATACATATCATATCTATATATATATAATATATGATGGTCGATCTAAAGGTCCCTGTAAGGAGTTTTAATTGCGAAAGCCGTGCGTGTTATGTTGGAAACCCTCGCGAAAGTTTTTTTTCGAGTTCGCGAAAGTAAAATTTTATTTCGCGAAAGTTTCGCGAAAGTTGGATATTCTAATCAGTATGTAAAGGGCTGCCACCCACTGCCGCCCAGGGTCCGGCAGGAGAAGGGCACCAGAGAATGCGAGTAGCAGTAGCCAAGTTTCCAAAAGTGAGGCTTTGCGAGAGCCAAACACTAAGGCCCTGGTCTTCGCTTTTCCTTCAGTACACCCCCTGCTGATGGCCGGGGTCTGTGAATAGGGAAAGTCAAAGTGCATGTTGAAGGGGCTGGGCCAGTAAACTTTGCAAACAAATAACTGTCCTGAGAAGGGATTCCGTGATGCTAGCTGCATGTTTAAAAGGCTACCAAGAAGTGATCCGTGATTCTCTGGCGTAATTTGGCAGGTGGTGAACGAATCTTCATAAGAGGTGTTGTTGGCCAACATGGTGGAGTTTGCGAAAGTTTCGCGAAAGTAAAATGTTTATTCGCGAAGAATGGCCGTCCCGGGATAAAGGAATTTTGATCAACAACCATATATATATATGCATACATATATACAAGGATTATAGCTACTTTTACCCCCAACATATACCCAATATTTCCAAGCAACCCGGCTGTAGTGAGATGGGACGTGTGGTTCTTTTCCCAATAATTCCCAGACGTGAAGCGGAGGTCAGCAGAACAAATTTGTATTTGATGGGAAAAGACAGTGGCTTCCCCTTCAACCAACCCATTGGCCCATGGGCTGAATAGTTTGGAGCGCGGAATCTGAGCCCAAAAATTGGAGGTTTGGAGACCAAACTTGCCAAAACTGTTTTCATGTAGGTCTGGAGGTTCAAACCATAGCCATTTGAACAACATCTGGAACCAGTTCTACCGAGGGTGTAAGGCGGGTAGGTTTGACCATGGTTGTTGACCAGCCCCAGCGATTCCAGGTGAACCCGGGGACTGGTGAGTCCTACCCTTTGCTACTGGGACATTTTATCCCCCTAGAGGGAAGTTCCGGCGAAGAGAAATCACAGTATTTCTTGGTGCCTGGCTAGTCAAATGATCCGCCCTGACTCTGGTCCGCTTTCATCTGACTTGCCATTGTCCAAAGTGCTTTTGGGAACGATTCTGTGTTGGGGGATCATTCAGGAGGAAGCCCGGGTTTTGCACCACTTGGTCGCCAACTGCCACGGTTGTTCTTGTTTGCTGAGGGGCATCACCATTGGGGACTGGGCGGCTGGCTACGCCGCGAGCTACATGGCTGGTATCTTGATCCAGGACAGGGTAGGGCGGTACTGGATGCCATCTACAAAGGTATTTTTGATATATTTTTGATCTTTCTTGATCAATGTAAACCGGAAATATACCTTCAGGCCGATCGCTTAGATGACTGAAAGCGCTGGAATAGCCAGCGCAGGGAGTTGTTGAAGCCAAGCTATAGGGGGGGTGGGAGTTGGTAAAGAGTGTGTGAAAATGGAAATCGGAGGACGGAAAGCGCTGGAACAGCGCAGGGAGTTCTTGAAGCGAAACTATAGGGGGGTGAGTGTGGGCGGGGGGGTAAAGAGCGTGTGAAAATAGTATCAGATTTGCAGGAGGAGGGGGCAATTTTTGTGGGGCCCGAAAATGTGTTCGTTGGGCCTTCTGGCCGCAGGGTTTCGTGTGCAAATAGCAAAAGAATTGAGATACTGTAACTTTTGTTGCAAATGGCCCTGCAGCAGAGGAGCCTTATTGTGTAAATGCAGCACGTTGGTATCGGGCCCCACAAAAAAAGGGTCAGCGAGCTCAGGCCCCACAAAAAACACAGAAATAACAGAGAAAACACAGAGAATAGTATATAGGCTGATCTATCTAGTTTGATGTATTTATCTAATTTGTGTAATTAGGCATCTAGTCTAAGTTAAGAATTTCGTAATTCAAAGATCTAGTAGTGATAATCCAATACTCTAATAGTCAAAAAATACCTAGTCTAGCCTGACTGCCTACTTAATCTAATCTACCCGAAGGGCAAATAATTTGGTTTAGTCTAGTCTAGTCTAGCTTAACTGGCGTATTCTAATCCAATCTAATCTAATCTAAACCCTCTCCAATCTAGTCTACCCCAAGGGCAAGTAATCTAATCTAACAAGAGCAACAATGTTGCAAGGAAATCAAAAGTCTAGCCTAATTTAATCTATCTTAATGTCACCTTCTCGAAGGGCAAATGGGAAAACCGAGTCACTTTCGTTTCCAAAACGTTGGGTTGCTTGCAGTTAAGTCTAATCTAGTCTGTCCTAATTTAATCTGCTCCAAGGGCAAATGGGAAACCCTGAAAGAACCAGTCACTTTCGTTTCCAAAATGTTGGCTTGAGTGCAGTTGTCAGTAGAGACGAGCCAAGTTTTATGGCAGATGGTGACCTATTCTAATCCAATCTTCTCCAAGTGCAAGTAATCTAATCTAATAAGGGCTAACACCTGAAACTTGCCTGAAACGCAATCGAATTTGGTCTAATCTAGTCTAGCCAAGCGCAATCTGCTCGAAAGACTAGTGGGAAAACCTGGAAGTGGGTTGCGTGCAGCTGTCTTAGTAGAGATGAGCCAAATCTTATCTGAAAAGGGCAAGCGCGGAAGAGCAAAACTTAGACTAGTCTAATCTAACCTAAAATCATTTAAATCTAAATCTAATCGTGTCTATTCGAAGGGCACGCATTTAGTTTAGTTTAATAGGGGCAAATGGGGCTAATCTAGTCTAGCCTAATGTAATCTAACCTAACCGAATCTAATCTAAATCGAATCTCGTCTACTCGAAGTTCAAGCAATTAGAACTGGTCTAATGAGGGCAAACGGGGAATAGGAAAACTTAAATGTTAGCAATCCAATTTTGTATAATTTTGTCTAATCTGATTTCATGGGATTGCACAAGCGCTCATGCAAAGCATGGCGAGAGGCATTAGTGGAAATTTGCTATGAAGGTATTTAATTAAACGGAGTGTGAAGTAGAAATTAGATGATGGAATTTTTGACTTGCAGAACATTGGGTTCATGTTTGGCTGTTTCGGCATCATTTTGGCCAAATTTTGTGCCAGAAACCTAGATTTTTTTGGTCCCTCCAGGACATGCTTGGCATAAATGTCACCTACACGGTTGCTGGAGGTGGAGGGCAGGTTGAATGCTTATACTCCGTGGCTGGTTGCTCTGAGCCGGGCAATTCCTCAAACCGAGGGTGTGGCCCAGAAGGGCCATCGGTGACTTGGTGATAGATCGAGGAAAAGGCGCAGGGGTCTTTTGTGCCTTTTGCTGCTTGTAACGGAACCAAGGCATCAGCGCAGGCAGTTTTGATAATCCTTTCCCCCTAATACTAAACGCCCCCCCAAATAATAAACACTTCAGGTAGTTTTTATTATTAATATTTATTATTAGGGAACCCTATTAATAAATTTAAAACCTTTATAATAAAAACTACTTTTTCCGATTTCAAAATCGATTAATTTTCCTTTTTAACACGCAATTGAAAAATATTACCACAAATTGGATTTCGTTAATAATTTCAAAACCTTAATAATAAAAACTTTTTGTTCCGACAAAATCAATGAAATTTCCATATATAACGCAATTAAAATATTGCCAAAAATTGGTTTTCGAAGCGGGCCATAATAATAAATTAAAAAGCTTAATATAAAACAACACTAAAAAATCGGACAGACCCTAATAATAAACACGCCGGGGTTGACTAGTTTTTATTTTTACGGGACGAAACCCACAAGTGGTAGCTTAATTTTTAGGTTGTTTTCTAAAGGGGATTAATTAAAAGTCAAATTGGCCAACCTGAAATTTGCCAAACTGGGAGATGGACCCTAGTTTTTAGTCTTTGGGGGGGTTTAGTAATAGGGGGAAGGATTGTTAGACATTTCCAACAGACAGTATGGCTGCGAGGATATCTTCGATTGGATGAACCTGCGTTGGCTAAGCAAATGGTATGGATGCTGTTCACACAGCCCTTGATACATAGTTGAATGGTTTTCAGTGCATATGTACGCATCATTGGTTTTCAGTGCTTAGGATCTTGGTTCATCCGAACAATTCGCATTTGACCACTTCTGGACCCTGTCCTCACCGACCTTTGATCGTTGCTAGTAAAAGAAATTTCGTCGCACCACCCCAATGGAGTCTTTAGAAACGATGATTATTTTCATCAGCTAGACTGACTTGAGTCCAACAAGCCCACAGCTCAGTTTGATGATTAAGAGATGCATATTCCCATTGGTGCTCACAGGTGAACCAACAGGGTACAAGCCAGCGATGGCCAAAAAAGTCCACCATTCAGTGGCTTACTGAGTCGCTTCAGTTGTGAGGTGACGTACCAGCACGTGCAATTGGAGGCGTGGATGGGAAACTATCCCGAGACGTGGGCTCTGTTGCAAAAATTCAAGACCGCGCCCAAACTCCTGACCTCCATGGGATGCTTGGACGGCCTTGGACGAGCGAGGAGAGTTGATGAACCTACGACGTGGGTGGATGTGTAATTAATGTAGAAAGTATGGAAGGATCTGTAGGGAGGATATAAGCAGTATACAGTCAGTATACGGATAGTATATGAGCGGGATACAAAAGGTATGAGGATATTCTAGTCGCTTACTGCTTGTGGGGGAGGGAAATTGTCCGGGTCGAGCACGTAGTTTGGAGGCTGAGGAGTATGGCAGCTGGGGATGCGGGCTGAACACGGGCCTTCTTGAGCCCAACCTGACCCTGTTGGGGCCGAACTTGACCATACTTAGCCTTAAATTGAGCCGAGCATGCGCCAGCTTGGGCCCAACTTGCGGACCCAAGATGGCGCAACTTCGGCATGTTTGGGCGCAAGTTGGGGTCAAGATGGCGCAACTTCGGCATGTTTGGGCGCAAGTTGTGGTCAAGATGACGGAAGTCGAGCCCGTGTGAGGCCAACTGCAGCTGTACGAACCGCCAATGAAGCATTGAAGCAAAAAAAAGTAGGGAAATAGCTGTGGCTGTGGCACGTGTTTTCAGCATGCCGCGTTCAGTCGGCACTATTCGCCAAGTTGCACTATGTTGGACCCAACTTGGACCCAAGTTGGAGCCAAGCGAACACGTTGGGCCGAAGCTGGGCCACATGCATGTACCTCAAATGTAGGTCCAAGTCAGGTCGAAGTTGGGCAGAGCGCAGACCCACCATGGTGAACACTGCCGAGCACAAACCTCCATTGAGGCCGGGAAATATTCACGTTGAGTCCATGCAGCTCCTTTCTTGGGCCGAAGTTGCCATCAAACGAATCCAGCTTCGGTTACAAGTGCGGCCCATGCTTGGAGGCTCGGAACATACTAGGTACATACGGCACTTACTATTTGGATACAGCACTTACAGTATGTCACTTAGCGGACTTACTGGGACAGCACTCAGCGCACTTACGTCGTAAGTGGCTTACAGCACTTACCTAAGTCCGCGAGCGCTTTTGTGTTTCCCCAAAACGCGATTTAAATTTTTGCGTTTCCACGAAAACTTGCAACGAATTTTTTGTGTTTCCACCAAAACCCCATTCAGAATTTTGTGTTTCCACCAAAAGTGAAACGGGATTTTGTGTTTCCGTAAATTTTTGTAAGTGCACTTAGCCTAGATACGTAAGTAGCGTAAATCCTTTACAGGACTTAGGCCGCTTAGGGCTTAAGCTGCCTATCTCACTTAGCCCACATACGCTATGTGGTTAGCCACGTGCCATAAGTTGCGTACTCATTATGGAACATAATATACAGTTAGCCTAAAACTGTAACTACTTACGTAAGTGACTTAGAGACAGCAACCCGCTTAGCACCACTTATAAGGTAACTTAGCACCACTTAGAAGGTAGGTTACAGCACTTAGTAAGTAGATTTTATAAATGTTCTAACCTTCCTATGTATAACCGCCCCCGGCCCTCCAAGTGTTGTATTGACCCCTCCCAGCTGAAGCTGTACCATTGATCCATTAATTTACTCGTATCACCTCCAGTGCGGGCAGACTTTTCTCGGTAGTATATTGTTACACAAATCGCCTGCCGCGTGATTGTGTGGGGGGGAACCTGCGAGTCGGCATGCTCTTGGGATTCTTCCGGGATCCTTTGGCCTCCATACCGTATAATGGCGCTGCAGCCGTCATCACAGGACGCGGAATAATATACACAGTACAAGTTGTGTAGGTGAACGGATCAAATCTTCTGGTCTTTGCCAGCTCAGGATACGAGGGCTCCGAGAGCATGTATTTCAGTTCGGCTGTGTTGCACGCTGCTTATGAGGCTGAAGGTTTGGCTTTGGAGTTTTGGACTGGTTGCTCGACCAAGTCTTGGCAGCTACTGTACCTGGCATTTTCAGCATGGTGTAGCTGCCTACATCTTACGCACCTCCACGCACACGTGTATATATATTTAATAATATATCTATATATACACACACATACAAATGTAGATATACACATAGTATGTATGATGTTTGTTTGATGCAATTTGGTTTCTGTACTAAGGCACACACACACTAGACAAAATTTGATCTTTTAAGAGATCCGTCTGGAACTGAGTCCCCTAACATGCAACTATATAGGTTAGTTACATATGTGTATTTATATATATATATGGGACTATGGTGACCACCAGCTGCGACTTATATGCGCCCAGGTGCGTCACCACAGTCCCGCAGGTACGTTTTCACGGGTCCCGGGGAGGTGTCTTCGTTGGTCACCGACCCCACGGGGACCCCGGTGACCCCCTGCTTTAAGGTATAAATAGGTATAATAAAATAAAATAAAATATAAATTAAAATTTTAATGTAATTTGATGAGCCACGAGCGAAGTTTTCCGTCTGTTCAGACGGTACACGCACACACACACCCTGCCTTTGGCACATTGTTGTCCTGGCACATGAGGTGAAAATGAGGATGAAAAGGGGAAATGAGGATGAGATGAAAGTGAACAGAGATGAGGGATTTCAAAACCGGGACCCGAGGAGGGAACGCAAAAGAAGAGGGAAGGAGCAAACACACACCGGAGCGGGCAAACCCTGAAAAGGCAAGGGAAAAGAAAAGCGGCGGCCGACGGACACGGAACAAGACCAGTGGAGGGGGGGGAAGACGGAAGCGCCTGAACCAACCTATCACAGCGAAAACTTACGCCCCCCCTCGGCACGCGCAGGACCCAACCTACCTAGGGAGGGAAGAACGCATGAAATAAGGGACCGGATGGGGGACTAGTTGATGAAACAGAAAAAACAAAGATCAAAGGGGACCGAGTTCAAGCCTAGAAAGTCGTGCGTTACTCCCGGCCGGGAACGTTGTCAGGTCATGCCAGGTGGGCTCAAACGGCTGTTCAAGTTCAAGTGAGTTAGGTGCACAAAATGGTTAACCTCACCAGAAACCAAAGTAACCACACCTGCAGGAAGAGGACATGGCCTGTTTCCTGTTGTCTCCCATGTCGTGTTTCACTTCAAAAACTAAAGCTGCAGCGAAAAGACAAAGTTTTTTGACAGTTCGGAGCGGCTGCAATCAGATAGGAGTCCAGGTTCAAAAGGTTCTCAAGGGACCGCAGGAACGGCCGGACATCGCAGAAAATGCCCATAAACGAAAGGCCGACCGTTTCACTTTACTTAGACGAAGTTCCAGATGAAAAATGTCAATTCAGTAATCCGGTCAGTCAACATTCACCCACAAAGGGGTTGCCTCAGTTGGCCCTATGGCACCGTGTCGGAGCCACCATAGGAATCACACTAGACATAATTGGATCTTTTAAGAGATCCGTCGGGAACTGAGTCCCCTAACATGCAACTATATCTATATAGTTACATCTGTATATATATATATATATATGGGACTATGGTGACCACCAGCTGCGACTTATATGCGCCCAGGTGCGTCACCACAGTCCCGCAGGTACGTTTTCACGGGTCCCGGGGAGGTGTCTTCGTTGGTCACCGACCCCACGGGGACCCCGGTGACCCCCTGCTTTAAGGTATAAATAGGTATAATATAATATAATATAATATAATGTAATATAATACAATATAATATAGTATAATATAATGTAATATAATGTAATATGATATAATATAATATAATATAATTTAATATAATATAATAATATTATAAAATATCATATAATATCATATTATTTAATATAATATAATATAATAATATGATTTAATATAATTCAATATCATATAATATAATAATATAATATATTTTCTTTTTAAAATATAATATAATAAAATATTATATAATTTAATTTAATATAATATAATATAATAGCATATCATATAATAAAATAAAATAAAATAAAATATAATATAATAAAATATAATTTGATGAGCCACGAGCGAAGTTTTACGTCTTTTCAGACGGTACAAACACACACACACACACGCGTGTGACGTTCCAATCCAATCTAATCTAGTCTAATCTAACCCAATCCAGTCTAATCTTGTCTATCTAATGTATCGTACCTATCTAATCTACCTAGTTTCAATGCATACAGTTTATCCAATGTTTTTACTCAATCTAGTCTAATCTAACCTAACCAAATCTAATCTGATCTAATCTAATTATATAATCGTATCTATCTATCTATCTATCTATCTATCTATCTATCTATCTATCTATCTATCTATCTATCTATCTATCTATCTATCTATCTATCTATCTATCTATCAGCACAGCTGTACATGTATATAATACACAGTGTTGTGAAACAAGGTGGATGCGTCGTGTGATGCACGCATGTGATGCATGTATGTGATGCATGGATGTGATGTGATGTGATGTTTTGTGGTGTGATGTGTTGTGTTGTGTTGTGTTATGTTGTGTCGTATTGTGTTGTGACATGATTCCGTGCGATGTAATCGCATGGAATGGGATGTGATGTGTATATGTACATGCTTATATATGGGTTTGTTTGATCAAAATGTACCCCAATTTGATGCTTCTTCATTTTCCCATTGAAGTTGCGCATTGTGTTTTCCACAATTTGAGACAGACCCACAGGTCATATTATGGATTATATATCCCACTGTATCCCCAATGCATTCCATTAAAATGCAAGGTAAATCATCACTTCCCATATTTTACCCATATTATTGTCAAGTACAAGTTAAACACCACGGTGTATTATGGTGATTGACGTTTTTGAAAGATAGCTCTTAAAATATCCATACGATCTTTAGATACCATGAAATAATTATCATCAAATGCCATTGTAGAGTCTACTTTAATTAAATATAACATTTGTACCATTTGCATACCATAAAACATCCTTAAAACATCACTAAATACAATAACATTAGATCATCAGACATTTACCAAACTATATTTTGCTCGATCCGGGCAGCTCTTCGCATCGTTTCATGCGCCATGGCCCCTCAACCTGACAAACCGAGGCTTCGATGCAACATGGAAGCGGCCTTGGCAGCTTGGAACGCCATCACCCAATAGGGATGGGTCAAAACCTATTGTTAATTATTACCATATATGGAGGAACAAACATCCAGTAACCAGCTGTGACTTTGGGATTTAGTGGTGACTTAATGGTTGGGATTTCATGGAGTTGAGCATTATAATGGTTATTTCATGGAAATTACATGGTGGTTCGATGGTTGTATATAATCGTATTTGCATTCCCAATCCACCATAAAATTACTCATTCCCTCCCATGTTCCCCCTTGCAAATTCTAAATCTATCCATAGCCGCATGAAGAAATCCTCTAGGATTGATAAGAATTACCATATTTCCAGTGATCCCCACACTGACACATTATTTTGATATACTTTCTGACCTATTAGCTGGAAGTATATATATATATGTGGCAGGCAGCAGGCATAGATTTTCTGACATTCTTTCTGACATTCTTTCTGGCATTCTATCTGACATTTTATTTGACATATATTTCGCAATTTTATCTGGCATTCTACCTGGCACACATTCTGACATTCTTTTTGACCGTCTTTCTGGCATCCTATTGTGACATTCTTTCTGACATTTTGTCTCTGGCATTTTATCTGACATATGTTCTGACATTCTATTTGCCAATCTTTCTGCATCTATTCTGACATTATGTTCGGGTCCAGGCGTGGCCTACTGCACCCGGAGCCCGCGATATGGCTCGGATTGGTTCATGCCCACAGTCACGACGAGCTGGCACTGGAGGCGGAGAAGGAGGAGGACGACGAAGAGGAAGAGAAGGAGGAGCTTCACCTGGCAGGCGGCAGGTACTACTAACAGCCTCGTCGAAGATCCTCGAGGCTCCAGCTCAGGCCACTGGACAATAAAACGCGTCCGCTCAAAATACCAAGCCAAACTGTAAATCTGACAAAATACGGCGCCAACCAAGTCAAACTGTAGACAAAATACAGTACTCCGTGGCAACCTGAAAAGTCACTCATCCCCAATGACCGCAGTGATGGACGAGCTCCGGTCCCAATCGGTCCCAATGTCTTCTTTCCCGAACCGCCCCAGATCACTACCTCCCTCTTACCCTCTTCCTGCTCAGGCGTCTTACCGGAATCTCCGAGCGTCATTCTACTTCCCTTTGCATGCTTTTTCTTGACTTGTCACAGGCCTGTGATTCCATTGGCCATGTGCATCGGCCTTATGAAAACTGCCCTGTCCTTATGGTATGCGCTCCAGATGCGCATAGAGTTGGCCCTATATGAAGAGCCGTCCATCACCGGCGAGGTATCAGACGTGATCAAGGCGTACAACACGCTACCACGCATTTCCATGATTGCAGCCGCAGTACGGTTGGTGATTGATGCACGGGTGGTATGCGCCTGGGGCACTGCTACAGTGGCACTTCAGCGGCACTTCATGGTCCAAAGTTCACCATCTGCACCCGTGGCTTCTGCAATAGGCTTTGTCGAAGGTTGCGGACCTAGTGTAACGGCAATGCTGATGATGAGTGTTTTCCTTCTTCACGTGTATTTGCAGCGGGTACGCCCGGCAGTGTCCTTCCACACTTTTGCAAACAACTTTCAGCTTGAGGGGCAGGTTCATGAAACACAGCAAGCATTAGTATCCTCGGACAAACTTTGTGGATTGCTGTGAAGTTATATGCGAAAAAAAGGCATATAGCTGGGGCGCAGCCGCTGATGATAGAGCAAAACTTCGCACCACCAACATCCAGCCCACCAGCGGCGCGCGATCTGGGAGGCCTCCAGTACACAGCCCAATGAAGTACTGGCGCAGTTTCGACTTGCCTACAGGCCCTGACGAGCTCTGACCGAAATTGGCAAGATCTCCTAGTACACTCCAACGAAAACACCAAAGGTTGCGGGTAGTTGCATGGCCACGAGCCCTTCCTGGTAGTTCAACGGTTTACGTTGCATATGCACATTTGGAACGCCAGGGCCGGTGCAATGAATGCACTCGGACTTAACCAAGATGGGAACACAACCGCAGTTGCAAGCTTGGGTTGGCCTTACCTGCGATCACCGACCCAGAGTTTTACATCATTTGGGACGCTTTGTCACAGATGCGAAGACATGTCATAGAATCAGTTTTGACGTAGTCATGGTGCATGCAGCCAGGGCCCATGCATCAGACCCTCCATGAGGTCCTCAGGAGACATCACCAAGTGGCAACAAAATGTGCTTCCTGGCTCCGTATTAGTAGCATCGGCCAGTCAGTGGCGAACTAAATTCAAGCAGGGACTTGAAGCTCTGGAAATTGCTGAACTTGGCTTTAAGCCATATTCCCTGCGGAGGGGGGGGTCGCAACAATCTGGTTTGCCCATCACGGGTCTCTAGATCGGATCCTCCTTCCAGGAAGATGGTTAGCAGCTAAAACTGCTCGAGCCTACCTAAATGAGGGTTTAGCAGTCCTTATACTGAGATGAATGTGTCAAAAACCTCGTTGACTCCGTTTCACAAAGTGCATATTTCTTCAACACGCCAGAAATTGCCCCCGTGGAAATCAAGCGCAAAAATGCTTGAGCATTCCGTGCGGAAGGAGAGGGGGACGTGCAGGAAACTCCTCCTGGAGGGAGTATAAGTTTTTCTTTTTTTAGACAGAGTACCTGTGCTCATGGATCTCGGTCTGGCGAGTGAAGTGAGGGGTAATACGGTGCATTTTGGTTTGGCGGGGATGGGTATAGTGTAGGGCCCTGGAAATGTATTTACCCTGGATGCGTGCGTTGTTTTGGAATCAAGGTATGAATATACCCTTGAAGGGTTCTCTTGTTTATTTCTTTGCTATGCGATGTCTTGCTGCGCTCAGAAAAAAAAGTGGAGAGTTTTCTTAAGGGTTGATCATTTTTTGACCCCCGATTGGGCCCAGAATGGTTAAGTTAGTTATTTGTCATTCGGAAGACTAGGCATTTGGCATGTGACCTCGCGCATCCCTTCTGTGTAAGGCAATATTTTGACAATCCTTCAGTGGTGAACAAGTCTCAGCTCAAACTTTGCAGTGAGACCAACTTGGCGAATCATTTGCTCATGTCCCAATATTTGAACATCACGGGTGACACTGGCGGAGTTGTGATTCACGGTGATGGAACAGTGACGGCGAATTGCCCTGATGGTTACGCTTGGCTCTCTCCCGCATGCCGCAGTGACAGTACAAAATGCATCAACTTTTTCACGCTTGGTGGTGGCTATGGTTTGACTCAGACGGTGCAGAAGGCCACGAAATGGAACATTCCCATGGCGTTTATGGTCGCGAAGACAGGATCTGATTGGGTAAGTTTGAGCAACACGCGCAAGAGCCTGTTCTATTGGTGCCTCGGACAGCAAGCCGAGTCTCAACTAGGCTGAACCTATAATTTCATGGGTTGCATTCCAGTTTTGAGTGTTCTTTTTTGTTGGTGAAGTATAAACATAGTCAGACTGGGCATAATTCATCAAAGCAGACAGTATCGACCACAATGACTTTCTCAAAGCTGCCACATGGCAAGTCGGCATTTGCTCAAGATTATTGACCTTGATCAAAACGCATGGTTTCTTTCCAGACGTGTCACATCAGCAGCTACTTGGTTTTGTTGGGAACCCGCGAGCCGGATATCAAATCCAGGGACAAGGTTTCTCTCAAACAACGTTTACATGGTTTCCAAAGTTGGAATCTAGGTTCTTGCTCAATGCGTCCCCAAGCGCAAGGTTTCCAAACAAAGGTTCCCAAATTTATCAGGTTGCGAACGCAGCTGGAAATCCTCAGAAATTCGCTCCAGGTGGGTCCCAGATCCAACTTTCTTGGAGATGTCTCCTGTGAAGAGTTCGTATCCACAACACGACAAACAAGCCTGGGAACGGGGAGACCTATCAACGGATGGCGTGGGAACTTACATTGGCGACTGGTCGGTGGTTTTGGTGCATTTTTGATTTTCCATCTATGGTCATCCTGGAGGAATACAGTAGAAAAAAATATTCCGGTTTCAAACGTTAGATCACCTTCTGCAAACTCTAGGTGTTGATGTCCGATTCTTATTCCAGGGCGATAACCTGCAAAGATGATCATAGGGGTTTGTCTGAGCCAATTTTGGTTTATCATCATTTTCCCGATCAAAATTGCTATTTGGGTGTATGCCCCATTTTGGAGTGTTATTTATTTTAGGAATTATTTCTTGGTAAGGTTTAGTTTTATTTTGGATTCCTGTTTTCTGCTGTTCCTGCTTCTCTGCTTTTCTGCTTCTCCGCTTTTTGATTTTCCTGCTTCTCTGCTTTTCTTGCTTCTGCCTTTTCTGCTTCTCTGTTTTTCCGCGTTTTGCTTTTCCTGCTTCTCTGTTTCTCTGCTTTTCTGCTTCTGCGCCTTTCTACTTCTACTTTTTCTTTTTCTGCAGTCGTGCGTTTTTGCTGCTCTCCTTCTTGCTGCTCCTCTGAGGACTCTGCTTCTCTGCTTCCTTTCTTTACTGTCTTTTTGCTTTTCTTTTTCTTTTGCTTCATTCTACTGTGCAAAATGGAAGGTTAACATGCCAAAATGTGGCAAATACCATGCAAAATGACACGTTCTAGTTCCAAACTGTTGCAAATGCAAGGCAAATACGCCATTTGTATCTGAGACAATAAAGGGAAAACAAGGTAGGAGACAAGTGGGAAACAAGTGGTAAAACGCAAAAACCATAATGGGACCTGATTTTATCTTGAAACAACCAGAAGATACAAAGGGAGTAAAGAACAGAGACAAACACGAAACACACATGAAATCATGATGATACCGCCACTAATAGGATCGGCGACAGATGACTTCGGAGACAGATGAAGTAGGAGACAGATGGTGAGAGACAAATGATGGAAGACACACACGCAAAGGTGAACAAGCGATAAAGCCGGACACCACCACTGAAGACAAATTAATTGGGAGACAAAAAACTTGGGAGACACATGGCGAGAGATACCTGATGATAGACAAGTGAAAACAAAAAAAGACATCTGAAGAGCAGGATACCACTAGACAGAGTGGGAGACAAATGAAGGGACACAAGTGAAGAGACGTCCAAAGAGCCGGACACCAGCCAGATTGTGAGACTAATAAAGGGAAACAAGTAAAAAGATACGTTCAGAGAGCCGAACAGCACTGGCCACACTGGGAGACAAGTGAACGGGGACAAGTAAAGAGAACTGGACAGCCGATCACCCCATCCAACGACAAAACGGCGACAAATGAGGGCAGACAAGTGCAGTGAAGAGATACATATACATTCAAAGAGCCGGACACCACCAGCCAGACTGGGAGACAAATGAAGGGACACGCGTGAAGATAGGCGTGAAGGGAGACGAGCATGTTTTGCAAGACTGGGGGACGCATTGGATATCGTCCGGAGAGCTGGGCACCACTAGCCAGACTGGGAGACAAACGAATTGAGAGAGATCCGGAGAGCCGGATCAGACTAAGTCAGTTGGGAGACATCCGGCTCTCCAGACACCAGCCAGGGAGCCGGACACCAGCGTCCTAGGAGACGGATGAATTGGGAGAATTGGGAGACAGTTGGGATACTGACACCACCGTTTGGAAAGAGCGGACACCTCTTAAGAAAGAATTGAGAACCCAACAGTAAACTGTTTCGTTTCGGGAACAACAACGAAAAAGCATTCTTCACCCTTTGCATGTCCACCGCCACAGTGACTCAGACGTTCGAACACGGGAATCCGCATCCGCCAGGAATCATTGTGAGCAATGACCTCAGCGCTCTTGCCCCGCGGGTGCAAGGCTTCCTCAATAATATCAACATGGACCTTGCCACGATGAACTCGGTCTTGCTGGAGCAGAAATTCTCAGGTGTCTGGCCAAGTCGGCTTCAGGTGTTGATTGTGATCCACAAAACAATAAAAGTGAATCATCGCTAGCTCAGTGAGGAAAGCGAACCCTTCGACATTCTTTGGGCCATTGTGGGGCCCTCTATAATCCCAAGGTGGCTCCAGTGATTCTCCTCAGGTGAGCCATGGGAGTCCGCGATGTGTGGCTGGCTGCGCAACAACACACAGATCTGGCAACTCGCCGTCCACCCACGGGCCCTCAGGGGCCCTGAGGCTTAGCACTGATGTTTGTTGATGTTCGCGCATATGCCATGAATTCCATCAGGATTTTTTGTTTCATTTTCTCGCGGCCTAGCCTTATCTAGCCTTGCAGTGACTGTTCAATGTCAGAGTTCAGCACCCCCATCGTCTGAGGCAAGATTGGCTGCCGGACGACTCCACCTGTTTCCCAAAGTTTGGCTTGTACAATGAGAACACCGAGCAATTTGTTCCCAATCGAGACGACAAAGAGGGTCTCAGGTTGGATACCATGGTGGGTAGTTAAGGCCGTAAAGGTTCAGGGTCAAACCAAATGTGAGCGCATTGACAAATTCAATTTTATGAGTTAATTTTTGGGATATTAAAGCCAGTGCTTGACCTGCTATGTTGACAACAAGTCATGGGTGTTTGTCTTCAATCCAAAGATTTCAAATGACAATAGGCTCTAAACTTTTCAAGAACGGCGAAGAAGCCCAATGAAGGGATATGAAGCAGACCAAAACTCATGTAGCAACATCGCAGCCGGAAGTACGAAAGTTGTCACAACAAGTTTAAAAGACATATTTTTGGTACGGCCAACCCCTCCGTTTGCCCGCGCCGACGCCCACCACGTGTCAGGACATCAAAAAAACACTGTGTTGTGTTGGACATGATGCACATGTCCATGATCATGGCTTTCATCTTGCAACGCACAGCTTAGCAACCTTTGCATTGAATGTTACAACGCCATCATCATCATCATCATCATCATCGTCATCATCATCATCATCATCACCACCATCACCATCATCACAATCATCAACATCTTCATCATCATCACCGTTGTCATCATTGTCATCGCCATCGTCATCATCATCACCAACACCATCACCATCATCACCATCATCATCATCACCTTCATCATCATCATCATCATCACCATCATCATCATTATCATCATCATCATAATCATAATCATCTTCAAGTCTCCCTTGAATAGTATATTTAACGGGGGTGGGGGCTTAATGATTCCTTAGAAACTCTCTTGCAACCTCTTGAAGACTCCCTTGAATATAAAGTTTACTACAGGGGTGGGGACTTAATGATTCCCTAGAAACTCTCTTGCAACCTCTTGAAGACTCCCTTGAATATAAAGTTTACAACAGGGGTGGGGACTGAATGATTCCCTTGAAGCTCCGTTGCAACATTTGAAGATTCCCTAGAATATAAAGTTTAACGGGGGTGGGGATTTCATGCTTCCCTAGAAACTCTGTTGAAACATCTTGAAGACTCCCTTGAACATAAAGTTTCTCGGGGGCTGGGATCTTAATGATTCCTTAGAAGCTCTGTTGAAACATCTTGAAGATTCCCTGCAAAACGCCAGAAAAATCCCTTTTCAACGTACTTGGAAACTGTGCACATGTTGTGTGGGCGAAAGGTGGTTTGCGCGTTTTGGTACCACACCATTTTTTCCCAGCTGCAAAACATGGAAGTTTGCTTCAGGAAGTTCCATGTTGTCTCTTACCCCTCTAAGACTTGCCTTCCAATTTCATTCCCCGCCGGCTACGGGCCGCAGTTGCCGTGCTTGTCCGAGCGGAACCTATTCCAAGCAGCTCGTAGATGATGATGGGACTACCTACATTTGTGAGGCCTGCTCTGCAGGCACTTCGGGAGATGAAACATCCATCCCTTGAATCATTTTGAACCTGTCACATTTTGGGAACCAGCACTTTGGGAGTCTTTGGTACGGAAGCAAGTTGCTTTCCAAAGCTCGGTTTTCCATACGTGTAAACGCGGATTTCAACATGGCATGTGACAGCTCTTGGTGATTTTGCGATTTTATCCAGCCATTGGGGTTAGGCACAAGCCAGCCTTCTGGTGCTTCCTTGGCCTGCGAGCCGTGTTTGAGGGGCGAGTACCAAAACGAGCTTGGTAAGCAAACCTGCAAGCGATGTGATGTGGGTTACTACCAGGATGAAGAAGGTGGCCCTACCTGCAAAAAGCGCCTTGGAGACACGTTACCCCGTGCCTTTTTGGGGAGGTGCCATTGCTTGTCGCAGGAAATCTGCGGTGCAAACTCTGTTGAACCATGATGTTTTCCCACATTGGACGTTCGTCTGAGGTGTCCAGACAACAGCCGCACCCTTCAGAGGGGCTCTTTGTCTTTCACAGACTGCGGTTGCATCGTCGGCTACATCAACGTTGCAAATGCTACTGCAGGCCTGACGACAAGACGCCCGACGCTGGAAGTAGGTGGACGCTTCCATGAAAGGAAATTGTTCGGTCCAGCCAACGAACTCAGTGATTGGATTGGCACTTTGTTTTTCCCTAAAGTGTTCCACGAATCCTTTACCGTACGGATTTCAGAGTTATACATTGTTACAAGTGAGGATTGCTGCATTTTTTGGAGGCAAGCTGTATCAGTCACACAAGTCTTCATGCGAGATACAAAAGTATTTTGTGAAAGAAGGTCAATCTCCAATCTCCCTGTCTCGAGAGGGAATTGCAATGCCATCCATCGGCGCATGGTAGCGCGGGTTGATCTTTCGGAATCTCGCTGTCTCCGCAGGCAAATTGAGCTGCACAGAATGCCAAGTGGGCTTGACCTGCCCGGTGATGGGCACCTTGACCAGTCACTTGTGCCTGCACGGTTGGCCGCTGTTGGTGGGCTCACGGAGGGTGGGCTGTAGGGATTCTCACAACAAAAAATAAAGTTCGTTTTGTATCAAACAGTGAGTATATCAGAGGATGCAAGAGTCTTGGATATGGCTTGTTGCTGGGCTAAGATGCTTTCCCTAATAAAAAAGGTCGATTTGTTTGCTTGAAATCAAGGGTCTGGCAGACCCTCGGCTTGTGACATGGGGATGAAAAAATAAAGACCCAAGACCCAAGGACATATGTAACATCTCCCGCAGGGATAGAGCACTATAGGTGCAACGAAACATAGGTCAAAGTGTTTGGCCGACAACTGTTTCTGAATTTGAGTGGCATGATGTTGCGTACATACATGTTGAGTTTCGACATCTTGACAACTTGATAATTTGCACATGCCAGTCGTCGGCACAATGTACGGCTGCATTTTTTTCTGAGCTCACTATGAGCTTCAGCTTGCCCGATGTTTGTCCGATCCCATCTCAGTAGGCGTTTTCAAAGTGAAAATGTGTTTGCAGCCTGCTTGCCTGTGCATTGAAACAGTTGACCTGTAAGTAAGCAACCCCGCAGGGATAGAGCATTATAGGTGTAACGAAACATAGGTCAAAGTGTTTGACCCACAACTGTTTCTGAATTTGAGTGGCATGATGTTGCGCGCATATCCTCCCTGCCCTCCCTAGTTACGCAAATTTTATAAGATTCTTACTGCTACAGTCTGAGACCATCAAAAATTATTATTTTTTTAATTTTTTTCATTTTCATTTTCATTTTCATTATCATTTTCATTATCTGTTTTTTTCATTTTATCTTCATTTTTTCATTTTTGTTCATCACCTTTTGCCACCAAACTTCATTTTTTTCATTTCCAACTTCATTTTTTTCATTTGCAACTTCATTTTTTTTTCATTTTCCTTTGTTTTTGATGGTTTTCCATTGTTTTCCAATGTTTTTCATTGTTTTTCATGGCTTTCCTGGATTTCAGGTGCCACGGGCAAGGAAAATGAAAAACACATGATAAAAAAATGATAAAAAAATGAAAATTTCCTCGTTTTTGAAGATTTCCTGGTTCTGAGAATCTGCAACTTTGAGTCCAAATTTTCATTTTTTTGCATTTGCAACTTCATTTTTTTTCATTTTCCTTTGTTTTTGATGGTTTTCCATTGTTTTCCAATGTTTTTCATTGTTTTTCATGGCTTTCCTGGATTTCAGGTGCCACGGGCAAGGAAAATGAAAAACACATGATAAAAAAATGATAAAACAATAATAAAAACATGATAATAAAATGAAAATTTCCTCGAGTTTTTGAAGATTTCCTGGTTCGGAGTGAGAATCTGCAACTTTGAGTCCAAATTTTCATTCTTTTTCATTTATTTTTTCATTTTCCTTTGTCTTTGATGGTTTTCCGTTGTTTTTCATGGCTTTCCTGGATTTCAGGTGCCACGGGCAAGGAAAATGAAAAAAAATGATAAAAAAAATAAAATTTCCTCGAGTTTTTGAAGATTTCCTGGTTCGGAGTGAGAATCTGCAACTTTGAGTCCAAATTTTCATTTTTTTTCATTTGCAACTTTTTTTTTTTCATTTTCCTTTGTTTTTGATGGTTTTCCATTGTTTTCCATTGTTTTTCATGGCTTTCCTGGATTTCAGGTGCCACGGGCAAGGAAAATGAAAAAACAATGATAAAAAAATGATAAAAAAATGAAAATTTCCTCGAGTTTTTGAAGATTTCCTGGTTCGGAGTGAGAATCTGCAACTTTGAGTCAAAATTTTCATTTTTTTTTCATTTGCAACTTCATTTTTTTTCATTTTCCTTTGTTTTTGATGGTTTTCCATTGTTTTTCATTGATTTTCATGGTTTTCCGGACTTTCAGGTGCCACGGGCAAGGAAAATGAAAAAAAATGAAATTTTAAATGAAAAAAAATGAAATTTGAAATGAAACAGAAATGATGTTTGAAATGAAAAAAAATAAGTTTGGAGAAACAAACAACGAAAAAAAAAAATGAAAAATAAATGAAAACAAAAAAATGATTGAAAAACAAAATGAAAAAAAATGACGTTACAAATGAAAACCCAAATGAAAAATAAATGAAAAAAAACATTTCCAATCTGTGGCTCGATGCGAATCATATAACGCAAATTTTTGCCCCTCGTGTGACTTCTATATTACCTTGCACTTTGTCACATGTATTCAGTCCCTTTGTCTTCATGCTCAATATGTCATGCCTAGCGGCTTCCTTCGACCATGGTAGCTGACCTGCATGAGCCTACTCTTCAGGAGTTGCTGTAATCCATACTCATTTCGACCGCCAGATTGAAGTTGTTCGCATGGTCACTGAACAATCGATTTGCAGGGGCCCTTGCAACTGATTCTGAACCATTTGCTTTGGCCCCAAGCTTGCCAAACTTCAATCCTTCGTCGCCTTCATCAGGGCCCTGCAAAAGTTTCGCACACAATTCCGTCGATATCCGACCTCGGTGCGTGTGCCAATATTTTCCATCTTTCATGTATGACTGCTTAGCCCAGCCACGGGCAAGGCATCATGAATTCCCCAAGTGAAAATGTGTTCGCGGCCTGCTTGCTTCTGCATTGAAACAGTTGATGTGCAGTAAACACCTGTAAACATGTTTTTGTGCCGACGGAGAGATCGTCAGGATAATCACGGTTCCGGCGATTTTGGGGCTTTGGTACCTTAATTTTGAACCAGACCGATTGTTTATATGTTGGCATAGTTAGTATATGTTTGTTTCACAATCTGATGAATCAGCCACTGGCAAGTTCACCACGCTTCTCACTTTATCGAAATCCAGTTTTTTTTACAGTGGCCGGGCTCATGTGATTTCAAAACACCAAGCTGAACCACGTAGCCAGGGATAGATTGTATGATGGCAGGAAACTCCAAATCCCGCATAGATAAAAAAAGTCATTTACCACTCTTTTGGGTAATTAGGATTCTACTTTTCCACCGTTTCGGGGGTTGCTGTCGGTTCCCTTATATACACGTTGTAGCGCCAAAAAAAATGTTGAAACAACATCTTGTTGGGAGGCGCTGATGTCATTCTGGTGATTACTGGAAACCTTTTGGGTATAACATTCCCTTCACCTGAACAAGTGCCACCATCACCATGATCACAGTGATCACCATGAACGCCATGATAGCCATGATCATCATAGCGATCATCATCAACATGTTCACCACGATCAACGCGATGATAAGGATCAGGATGATCAGCATCGCAGTCGTCGGCGTCGTCATCATCGTCGTCATCATCATCACCACCATCATCATCGTCATCGTCATCGTCATCGTCATCATCATCATCATCATCACCATTGTCGTCATCACTATCGTCATCACCACCACCACCACCACCACCACCATCGTTATTATCATCATCATCATCACCATCGTCATCATCACCATCATCATCATCATCATCATCGGGATCAGGATCAGGGGCTTGTCACATGGACCCATCCCAGCTTGCATGGATGGTGATGCCCACAGCTCGCATGCTTAAGCCTCTCAACCAGTTGGCGCGCATCCCACTTGCCAGTGCCTTACTGCCAAGGCTTGGTTGACGGAAGTCATCCCCTGGGCAAAAACTATTTGCCTGAGGTGGCCAATGATTACTATGTTACGGCGGATGCACCTTTGGAGGTGACATATATGAGCTGATCATGTCGGGAGGGAAGTAGTAGGTGTGGAGGTAGAACATAATTAGTCACGTTTTGTATAGTCACGTTATGTCAGGTCTTCTTTGTTGTGGTACTTGGATCAGATGGCAGATTCAGACTGCTCATGTCCATGAATCCATTTCCAGGTGATATACGTTCATACTCGTAAGTAGGTTCTGGCACTTCATCTCTTAACACATTGTATATGAGATTTCATTAAAAGATATAATAAATACATCCATCACTACCAGATACTCATTATAGATACCCATTAAATCACCATATGATTCTTACTAATGGGGATTTTCGGCGCCGCTAGGTCTACCGCTGCGGAAGCGTCCAGTCTTGCCCTGGTGGAATGCCAGCGCAGTGCAACGGTGACTTTATTGGTGTGCCCTGCGGCGAGTGTGCACCAGGTGGGCATCCGACTTGGATGTGCGGGGCCCAGTTACTTTAGGAAGTGGCTAGATAAATGCTGTATGCAGGGTAAAATCCAATTATGTATACAAATTTGTATCCATGTATACAGTATATATATATATGTAATATACAGCTCTCTGTCTCTCTCTCTATATACATACCTAGGTCTTCGTTCGTAGCACTTTTTTCTGGGAGACTAGGTTGTTGACTTATTTTTGAGATATCGGTCAAAAAAAGTAGTTCTTCACCAAAGCGCCTACTTTTTCAATTTACCTATGATTAATGATTCCCCTGGTTTCATTTCATGCTGCATTACCATGTTACGCATTCAACCTCATTCAATCCTATGTCGGTTGAATTCCCTAATGTGGGCCATTGATAAAACTAAGTGAAGCAATGACAAGTGGCCCGCAAATCGACAGGGTCAACCAAAACCTACCCTCTATCCACCATAAGCGAATAAAATCAAAACGCTAAACTCTGACCAGCCATGTTAGCTGGTCAATCGGCTTTGAAGTGCCACTAACAGACTCTTTGGCTCACCATTTCTTAGATTATGTTCATTTTTGTGTGCGATGTGCACGTTTTATGCGAAAGTTCGCGCCTACAAAAACCTTCAAAACTCCCTCAAAAAGCTTCAAAACGACTACAAAAACCATCAAACGCCTACAAATCCCAAAAACTAGGTCACTTTGTTTTTCCATGTTTTCGGCAATATGCAAAAAAAATTGAAATTTTAAGCCTTCTGCTTCTTTTTTGCAGAGTTCTCACGGAATTATGTTTTTGGAAGAAGCATGGTCATGATTGCAAGTTTGAACACTGTGCGTGTGTGTGCACATCACCATGCGGATTTGGATGCACGACTTATTTTGTGAGAGACCATTTGAAACCAGGCTTTTTCCATGAGCGAAATCTATAATCAATTCAGGGGGTCGGGGAATGACAAAAAAAAATTCAAGGTTGCAGTGGAGGGCATAAAGCTCACGACCGGTTTTTGGAGATATCGACCAAAACGGCTACTTTTTGAATTAGCGTCCGGAAAAAGTAGAACACTAGGGGTCGACCAAAGTTTCTTGATCTTTTGAAGGCCTAGGTATATATATATATAAAGTAAGGGTCATGGACCACTTGGACGTGTTTGGCATGTGATCAGTATGCGGGACTGTGAAGAGTTGGTAATTGGTTGGTATGCATTGGGTTTGAGGGGTTGTTACCTGACTGTATCCTGTGATTCCCATGACTCTTCAGCCCTCTGGTTCGGCTGGATTTGAAGCTTTGAACCACACTTGGCCAAATCGTTTCCTGAGTTGAGTGTTGATTGGATACCTATAGTACCGGGCTCTTGAGTGCAAACCGTTGTTTCACAGATTCATCGAGAAATTTGGAGTTGTTTGCACACATCCTTACTTGTGCAGGCTACAGCCCCAGCGAAGGGAAATGCAATGAGTGCGACGATTCCTTGGTGGTGCTTTGGGCCATTGGTGTCATGTGTGTTTTCCTCTTCCTGACGGCTGCTTACTACCTGTTGACTTCAAAGGTGACGGCAAAGGCCTCTGTGCTCTTCACCACCACATGTGCCTTTGGGATGCTCATTTCTTTGCTGCAGAGCATTGGTATTATTGGCACCATGACGGTGAATTTTCCAATTGAGATCGACTCCTTTTTCGGGTGGTTCTCCATCCTAATGCTGGATCTCGACAACTTCGGCTTTGCCTGCCTAGCAGGAAGCGATACGAGCCTTCGTTACTCAGCGGGTGCATTGTTCTTTCCGTTGGGCCTTGCTTGGTTTGTGCTCAATTACGGAGCCCCTTGGCATCTCAATGCGAGCTGCTGGTTGGAAAGTGTTTCTTATCAGTGTTACGAAGACTGACAATATTGTTGGTGTCGAGGCCACCAGGCATCATTGATGCTGGACGTGGAAGATGCTGCGTCTGAGTACCCCTCTATCCTGTTAACAGTGAGCTGAGGTGAGCCAACTGGTGCCGAAGTATCGTTGGGATATCAGCAAGGTTGCAAGCTGCATGGGGCAGTTTTTACAGGCGCGCTTCATTGGGATGTTTTTGGGCCTTGTGAAACATGCTACCGCCATAGTTCACTTGGAGCACCCCAAGCTAACATTTGCATACATTTGCGATGACCACCGGCTTCCCAAAATGATGGTGATGATGATGATGATGATCACGATGATGATGGTGGTGGTGGTGATGGTGATGGTGGTGATGATGATGGTGATGATCATGATGATGATGATGATGATGGTGCTGATGGTGCTGATGGTGGTGGTGGCGGTGGCGATGGTGATGGTGACGATGAAGTAAAGGAAGTAAAGGAAGTAAAGGAAGTAAAGGAAGTAAAGGAAGTAAAGGAAGTAAAGGAAGTAAAGGAAGTATATAAAAGAAAAGTAAATAGTAGCAGTGCACCCTACCAGCAGGTTGTGTCAGCGCAAAACATGGTTTTCGTCATTTTTTGTCGTTGCCACGTATCTTTTTTTCCCCAGATAGCTGGGGGCTATAGAGGTTCTTACTTCTCAAAGGTCAGGTCTTCGGTGGCGGGCGGTGCTGTGCAGGGTGCTGTGCAGGGTGCTCTGCAGGCTAAGTCTGGCCAGTGTGTCTGGCCAGGGTGCTGTGCAGGGTGTTGTGCAGGGTGCGTGCACTGTGCAGGGTGTGCAGGGTGCTGTGCAGAGTGCTGAGCAGGGTGCTGGCAGGGTGCTGTGCAGGCTGCTGTGCAGGCTGCTGTGCCGACAGTGCGGTGGCGAAGTCTGGTCAGGGTGCTCTGCAGGGTGCTGTGCAGGGTGCTGTGCAGGGTGCTGTCAGGGTGTTGTGGAGGCTGTCACGGGGTGGGGAAGTCTGGCCAAAGTGTTGGGCAGGCTGTTGTCAAGGGGGCAGTGACGAAGCAGGGTACTTTTTATGGTGCGTGTGTCAACATCTGATGATTCTGGGACTCCTCTGTAACAGACCCAGCCTTTGAGTTTTGAGTGATCGGTATTGAGGCTCCAGCTCGATGTTCTTGGCAGCCTGCAGCGGCATCAGCATGCCCGCTCCAAAGCGCACAAACCACTCTCACAGCAGCACCGCACCTTGCAGAGACCCTGCAGCGGTGCCGCTGCGTGTCACAGCGGTGTGTGCGCTTTGGAGCGGGCATGCTGGTGCGGCTGCAGGAGGCCCGGCTGCAGGGTACCGCTGCAAGGTGCTGCTTCAGCGCCACTGACAGCAGCTCAAGCAGCACCCTCCGACCGACCCTGCAGCGGCACCAAGCTTGCAGGTAGGCTTTGACTGCGTCCGCACTGGAGATCCTGTGTACCTTCATCATGCCATACGCAATGGCATTGGCACCCACGATCGAAGCTGGAGATGCGGATAGTGTTTGATATAGAGCTATTTTGCCACTGTTTTGGCTGACCCGGCCTTTGAGTGATCGGTACTGAGGCTCCAGCTCGATGTTCTTGGCAGCCTGCAGTGGCACCGGCATGCCCGCTCCAAAGCGCACAAGCCACTCTCACAGCAGCACCGCACCTTGCAGAGGCCCTTCAGCGGTGCCGCTGCGTGTCACAGCGGTGTGTGCGCAGGGTGCCGCTGCAAGGTGCTGATTGAGGGTGCTGCTGTGAAAGTGGTGTGTGCGCTTCAGGGTGCTGCTGTCAGAGTGGAGCTGCTGCTGCAGGGCATTGCTGCAGGGTGCTGTTTTAGGGTGCTGTCAGAGGGGGGTGTGCGTTCTGGAGCTGGCATGTTGGTGCCGCTGCAGCTAGGGTGTTGCTTCAGGGTGCTTCTGTTAGAGTGGTGTGTGTGCGCTTTGGAGCTGGCGTGTTGGTGCCGCTTTGGAGCAGCTGCAAAAAAGGCAGTCTGCATCTTAGGAATTTGGGTGCTGCTACAGGGTGCTGCTGCCAGAGTGCGGTGTGCGGTATGAAGCCCTTGGGTGCTGGTGTCGCTGCAGGGGGTGGCTGCGAGTGCGAGATGTCTATTGCAGTGCCCTGATGGAGATTGCGTTTATGCCGTAGCAAAAAAAAGGCGAGCGCTTGGTTGCCACCATTTTTTTTGCTATCTGGGGTCTATGCTGGCGTAATCTTTTGAAACCTGGCATTCGCGGCAGAGCCTGGAGATGTCGAAATTCGTGATTTTCCTGGTGGAAGTTTTGTTTTGTTTTTTTTCTGTCACGTATTTGTCTTTGTTATTGTTTTTATTTTAGGAACCCGGCACGGCCCGAAGATGTCTAAATTTGTGCTCTTCTTAGTTTTTTTCATATTTCCTGTATTTTCTGTTCCTAGGAACCCGGCATTTGCAGCACGCAAAAATGACAAAACATGACAGAAACATTGCACAAAGAATTGACAAAACATGACAACTGACAGACCCAAACGGCAACAAACATGACAGAAAAATGACCAAATATTTATTTCAGAATTTCGAGGTTCGGCTGTAGGGAACTCAAAATTCTGCTGTCCAAGGGACCTCATACTAGTAGCAATAGCAATACGGAGACTGCACGCTTTGAGATAGAAGACTTTACAGAGCCTAGATATAAAGAAGTTAAACAAGTTATGTTGGAAGTTAACATGACTTATCAAAAATATAAAAAGAAGTTATGTTAACTTGGATAACTTATTTATTAGTTTTTGATAAGTTTCGATAACTTCGTTTAACTTTTTATAGTTTTTTTAAATACTTTTTTGACTTTTTACAACTTTCAAAGGCTCTGCAATGTTGGTTTTGTATTGTTTCGGATAATGCTTAAAAATAACTTAATATTGCGTATGTTGTTTCGAACGTGCGTTGATACATTTCTGAATATGTATTGTTCGTTTGTTTTATTACATTTGTTTCCCGGATTTTTTTCGTTTATTGAAGCAGCTGTTAAATTTTTATATAACTTCTTTGCTTTTGCAAGAACTATCATATATGATGTCATTTATTTTCCAAGTTTTTCCCTTTCAGGAACTTTCATATTTTATGTGAAATCTTTTCAGATTTGTAGTTTTCCGGAACCATCACATTTGATGCGATTCCCTTTCAGATTTTTTCCTTTTCAGGAACCTTCACATTTGATGTGATTTTTTTTCAGGTTATTACTTTTCAGGAACCATCATACTTGATGCGAGTTCTTTAGCGCACACAATAGTTCAGGCCGAAGCTAGCTATAGTTCAGCCTAAACTAGCTATAGCTCAGCCGAAACTCGCTATAGTTCAGCCTAAACTAGCTATAGTTCAGCCTAAACTAGCTATACTTCAGCCTAAACTAGCTTTAGTTCAGCCTAAACTAGCTATAGTTCAGCCTAAACTAGCTATAGTTCAGCCTAAACTAGCTATAGTTCAGCCGAAACTAGCTATACTTCAGCCTAAACTAGCTATAGTTCAGCCTAAACTAGCTATAGTTCAGCCTAAACTAGCTATAGTTCAGCCTAAACTAGCTATAGTTCAGCCTAAACTAGCTATAGTTCAGCCTAAACTAGCTATAGTTCAGCCGAAACTAGCTATAGTTCAGCCTAAACTAGCTATAGTTCAGCCTGAACTAGGTTTAGTTCAGCCTGAACTAGCTATAGTTCAGCCTAAACTAGCTATAGTTCAGCCTAAACTAGCTATAGTTCAGCCTATACTAGCTACAGTTCAGCCTAAACTAGCTATAGTTCAGCCGAAACTAGCTATACTTCAGCCTAAACTAGCTATAGTTCAGCCTGAACTAGCTATAGTTCAGCCGAAACTAGCTATAGTTCAGCCTAAACTAGCTATAGTTCAGCCTAAACTAGCTATAGTTCAGCCTAAACTCGCTATAGTTCAGCCTAAACTCGCTATAGTTCAGCCGAAACTAGCTATAATTCAGCCTAAAGTAGCTATAGTTCAGCCTAAACTAGCTATAGTTTAGCCGAAACTAGCTATAGTTCAGCCTAAACTAGCTATAGTTCAGCCTAAACTAGCTCTAGTTTAAGCAGAGGCGAGGCAGCAGCGGCAAGTGCCAACATGAAGGAATCCGTTGACATTTTCGATCGCCAATGGACACCGTGAGCTATCGTTTCGAGCAAAGCAGCTATCACATTCCACGATGTCTCCATATCAAGACCCCTTGCAAGAAGTGTCTTCAGAGACATGTCCTTTTCAGAAAGTATCTTTGCATAAATTTTCCTTTACAGGAACTGTCTTCAGAGACCAAATCCTTTACAGGAATTGCCTTTATTCAAACCATATCCTTTGCAGGAACTGTCCTTAGAAACCATATCCATTACAGGAATTGCCTTTACAGACCATATCCTTTACAGGAACCGTCTTTGCAAACCTTATCCTTTACAGGAACTGTCTTTGCAGACCGTATCCTCTACAGGAACTATATCTTTACAGATCAAATCCTTCACATACAGGAACTGTCTTTTCACACTTCAGCCGTTTTAGAACTTATTCTTGGGAACCATAACCTTTCCGAGAGAGCATCTGTGCAAATATTTTTCCAAGCAACATTATTGAAGCTATCTCAACATACAGCACAAAAGTAACTTTTTTATAACTTTTTTAACTTTTTGTAACTTATGATAACTTTTGCTAAAACTTTTGCTAAGTCTCTTAACATAGTTATGAAAAGTTATCTTTAGATAAGATACTTCCGATAAGTTCGTTAAGAATTTACATCTTACCTAAACATTTACAACTTCACGTAGCCGGCTAGCTGAAGTTATAACGTACTTGTCAAAAGTTATGAAACTTTACATACTTGCAAGCAGGTTATAAAGACGTTATAGAGGGTTTATAAGCACGTTATAATTCATATAAATTTGTAAACCCACATAACTTTAAGCGTGCAGTCTCCGTAGTCATAGAAATCGTTTTGACAATAATATGATTCCAGGTCTGCACAAGATCGCAGCTATGATTTTGTGCACATGTGAGGTGGGTTTCTCAGCCATGAGTGCGACTGCGCTGATTCCCTTGACCTGCTACACTCATCCCAACAAATTGAAGAGTCTCTTGAAGTACCCGAACGTGATTTGTGGCTCAGACACACACGGTGCGATGCTTGCTGTTGGCCTTTGCTTGCTGATCCTCGGTGTCTTCGGCTTCCTGGCTTTGTGCACCTATGGGGCTTACATGGTACCAACATGGAGTGCCTGCGAGAAACACGGCCGTGTCCGCGCTTTCCGATTCCTGGTCTTCCGATTCCGGCTGGAGACTTGGCCTTTATTTCTTTATGTGGTGATTTCGACTTTTCCAGGCACAATTGCCCATGAAGGGGCAGTGTTTGGGTTCAGGGTTTTTGTTAATATGTTCCAGCTGCCCTTGAGCAGACATACTTCAGGACAGCTGGTGGTTTGGAGTTCCACTGTTGGCCCGTGGTCCTTTGATTGCCCTTCCCATCGTGCTGGCCACAGACTACCCGGCGGTGCAGACGGTCTGGGTGACCTTCATCCTTCTGAGTTTTTTGGCGTGTCAGGCTCTGGCGTGGCCATGGAAGGCGCTGTCCTCAATATCACCAGAACTGGGATTGAAACCCTTCAAAATTGGATGTTTATGGTTGGGTTTACCACGTTATATATATACACACACACAATTTTTCCAAATTGTTTGGAATCACTTTGCTATCTTTAGTGGGACCCTTATTGCCTCTGAATCCAACCGACTGTGGGAACGTATTACTGCGTGACGCAGTTCTAGCTACAGCAGCTGTCCAGTTGCCGAATGATGCGGGCTACAACGTGTGACCTAGGTGGGCGTAGCAATCTGCAGTTTTTTATTTTTGAAGTAAGGATGTGTCAAAATGATTTCGGCCAAGGAAGCTTTTCTACCCAGAACATCCCATATTCATCTCCAGCAGTCCTTGGATTGGATGCATTGCCAAAGCCGTTGCCATAAATAGCCGCCAGATCTCTGACCGTCTCTGACCTGTCAGGTGCCGTTGCTGAATGCCCTCGACTGTTGGATGTCCTACTGCATCATGATTTTGGTGGCGGCTTCGGCCTTGTACGTGGAGCCTATCAACAAAACAGGCTGCCTGGGCTGCCTAGTTGAGCTGAGGGGGGGGGGTTGTTGCAGGGGTTTCCCCGAAAGCAGTTGGGATGCAGCTTATGCAGTTCCTTTGCAAACACCATCTCTAGAATTTTGGACTGGATCCAAGGAAGCGGTCAAAAATGGGGGCTTTCCCTTTGACACAAGTTGCCGCGCTGAGATTCCAGTTGGATCCCATCCCATCCCATCCATTCATGTGCGCCTCCATTGACATTCGAGAACGGGATATACAAGTGAGCAAACTGTCACAGCCTTGAATCGTCGTATAGAGTGAAAACAAGCAAACCCTTCATGGGTCCAGGGTCTTGAGTTTAGAGGCACAGGTAACCTTTTCAATTTGTAAGAAGTTCATGAGCCTGAGTTTGAAGCATTCGGTTTAGAAAGCTTCAATTGATTCATCTTTTGCAAGACGCGTCCTGATGACCCCTACCTCTTGGGAGCTCATGGGTCCCATCTGGTACCTTAGGAGTCGTGGCCGACTTCATCGACAATTTCAACACCGGTATTTCGGTGCCCTGGGCCCACCCACGGGGCAAGAGAAGAAACCAAACTGAGCTCGGGGCTGGCAGGTCTTGTTTCTGAGGAAAAGTCCCTAGTCTTTCAGTTTTTTCTTCCCCAGGAAACAAGGTGCATCCACACATACACACACACACCCGCACAAGCATGCCTATATACTATATACATATACACAGGTGTTTGCCTCGCGATCCAAGAAAACCATTCTATGTGCACACGTAGTTGGATATGCATGTCACCAATGTCCTTTAAGAAGTGGTTCATCAGTTAATCACTCTCAGTAATCAGCTCTGGTTCCTTGGTCCTGCAGGTAGTGATCTTCTCGTCCGTTTCGGCGATGATTGTCATGGCCCTGTGTGCCCTCTTCCACCGCGCAGCCATGGGCGGCAACTCCGAGTATGCAATCTTCAACCTCGGAAGGAACCCAAAAGATAGGAACTTGCCAGATATTTCAATAGGGTTAGAATTGACCATGACTGGTGAGGACCATCAACAGGTGTGGTGATGCTTGTTGAGGTACTGTGCCTGTCCCCATGACTATTTCTGTCATAGTTCTCATCATCAGCTTCTGCCTGTTGCTCACGTACTTGTCAGCCCTTTCTCAGCTGTTCTGGGGTTGTTGCTCCTCAGAACTCCTTGCCAAGTGAGGCCAGGCCAAACTGTCAGCTCTCTGCAAAATCCATCGTGTTCCAGATCAAGACTCATTATTTGTTTTTCCTCCGGGTATATCCAACGTTCACAAGCCACTGTGGATTCCAGCTTGGTTGTATGTATGAATGGATGGATTGATGGATGGATGCATGTATGTAGTGCAGTTTAAATGTATTGCAATGCAATGCAATGTCATGTAATGCAAGGAATGGAATGCAAAGGAATGAGATTTAGAGGAATGCCATGGAATGTAACGCAATGTAATGTAATATAATTATAATTGAATGTAATATGATGCAGCGGAATATATAATTTCATAAATTATATAATGTAATGCAATGTAATGTAATGCGGTGAAATATCATGGAATGTGAATGTAATGCAACGAAATTCAATGCAATGGAATGGAATGTAACGCAAGGTAATGGAATGAAATTTAGTGGAATGCCATGGAATGTATTGCAATGTAATGTAACGAAATCTTGCAAAAAGGGGTCGGGCAGGGTCGCTTTTGATCACTGTTATTTCTGGACCCGTTTTTGGCTTCCCAACGGCTGCAATCCTTCAAAAAGGGGTCTGCCCACGTATTTCCGAGGATCGCCTTGCAGGCGCGTTCCTTGTGCCAACTGCTCTGTTCATTCTTCCCCTCGTGGCCATGGCTCTCTGAGTGGCACTTGTTATTGATATCCTGCCTCTGTGTCTGGATCCGCTGAGCATAGCCTTTATGCAGGGTCCGGCTGGCTCAGTCGGTACGGCGCGGGGCCCTTAACCCAGAGGTCGTAGGCTCGAGCTCGCCTTGGGTGAGGCTGGGCTCTTGTGCCAATCTTGCTGCTGCTAGCCTTGCCGGGCAGAGAGAATCATTGTTGTTGGGCTTTAAAGGCTGTACCTATGATATCGATCTCTGTTCATTCTTGTGCTAGTGGCCGCGGCCCTCTGTGTGGCAGTTGTTGTATTGATATCCTGCCTCTGTTTATACATCCGCTGAGCATGACCTTTATGCAGGGTCCGGTCCGGCTAGCTCAGTCGGTAGAGCGCAAGGCCCTGCACTTGAGTCCCGCCGTTGTTCTGGGATGGGATATTGGCTTGCTTAGCATCCTTCCCCGACCTGCTTCCCTTTGCCAACGTAGTAAGTAGTAGTAAGTAGTAGTGAGTAGTAGTAAGTGGTAGTAAGTAGTAGTAAGTAGTAGTAAGTAGTAGTAAGTAGTAGTAAGTAGTAGTAAGTAGTAGTAAGTAGTCGGTAGTAGTTGCCAGTAGTAGTAAGTAGTAGTAAGTAGCAGTAAGTAGTAGCAAGTAGTAAGTAGCAAGTAGCAAGTAGCAAGTAGTAAGTAGTAAGTAGTAAGCAGTGAGTAGTAGGTAGTCGGTAGTCGGTAGTTAGTAGTAGGTACTAGGTACTAGGTGGTAGTGGTAGTAGTAGTAGTAGTAGTAGTAGTAGTAGTGGTAGTAGTAGTAGTAGTAGTAGTAGGAGTAGGAGTAGTAGTAGCAGCAGCAGCAGTAGTAGTAGTAGTAGGAGTAGTGGGAGTAGTAGGAGTAGGGGTAGTACGAGTAGTAGGAGTAGTAGGAGTAGTAGTAGTAGTAGCAGTAGTTGCCGTAAGTAGTAGTAAGTAGTAGTGAGTAGTAGTAAGTAGTAGTAAGTAATAGTAAGTAGCAGTAAGTAGCAAGTAGCAAGTAGAAGTAGCAAGGAGTAAGTAGAAGTAGCAAGTAGTAAGTAGTAAGCAGTAAGTAGTAGGTAGTAGGTAGTTAGTAGTAGGTACTAGGTAGTAGGTACTAGGTGGTGGTAGTGGTAGTGGCAGTGGTAGTGGTAGTGGTAGTGGTAGTGGTGGTGGTGGTGGCCGTAGTAGTAGTAGTAGTAGTAGTAGTAGTAGTAGTAGTAGTAGTAGTAGTAGTAGTAGTAGTAGTAGTAGTAGTAGTAGTAGTAGTAGTAGTACTAGTACTAGTACTAGTACTAGTAGTAGTAGTACTAGTACTAGTACTAGTACTAGTAGTAGTAGTAGTAGTAGTAGATGATAGTAGTGGTCGTAGTCGCAGTCGTTATCGGAGGAGACGGAGTAGTAGTTGCTGCTCCTGTTCTCCTGTTGCTACTATGGCTGCTGCATTGTGCTCGAGGTGGGAAACTCTTATTCCCTTGCGCGCGCCCCCTGACCTTAATGCAACGCAATGCAATGTAGTGTCATGAAATGGAACGCGATGGAATGACATCTAATGTAACGCAACGAAATGCAAGTTTATAACGTCATGGAATGTAGTGGAATGTAATGTAGTGCAACGTAGAGCAGTACTTGAATGTAATGCATTGCAGTTCAATGTAATGTAATGTAATCTAATGGACTGTAACGCAATGTAATGTAATGCAATGTAATGGACAGTAATGCAATGTAATGTAATGTACTGGAATAAAATGGAATGTAATGCAATATAATGGATTGTAACGCAGTGGAATCTAATGGAATTGAATCCGATGTAATGTAACGCAATGCAATTCCATGTATTGGAGTTTACTGCACTGTAATGCAATGTAACCTAATGCAATGTAATGCGCTGTATATAATGCAATGTATATGCAATGTAGTGCAACGCAATGGAATGAAATTCAATGTAATGCAAATTCAAATTAATGTAAAGGATTGTCATGCAAAGGAACTTAGTGGAATGTAACAGGTTGTAATACAAGGTAATGCAATGCAATGCAATGTATTGTAATAGAACGGAATGTAATGCAATGCAATGTAATGTAATATGATGGAATGTAATGGAATGTCATGGAATGTCATGGAATGTAATGGGAGACAACCTTCATTCATTTGTGACACTTGGGAAACAAGTTCTGTAGGATGGACCAGAATTGGGACTGTGTCGCAAGGAGCCCAAGCCCGGACCTCTTGGCCGCAAAAATGGAGGCCACAGGGTGGGAGGCCTTGGGTTCCTGGGCATTCCTTCTACTTAGGATGTGGGTTGGCTATTACAAACACACACATATAAATAATATATAAAAAATATCATGTATATATATATATATGAATATATATATATATATTACTGTATGTATATATGTGAATAAAGATATATATATATATATGTATTACTGTATGTGTATTATGTATACATATGTATACATGTATACATGTATATAGGTATCTAAGCATATATGTATATACGTATATATGTATTTATGTATATATGTAAATATAGTTGAAATTTCGCCTCCTGTATATGTTTGGCTCAAGTTTGTCTCAAGTTTGGTTCAAGATAGTCCGAGACAGCAAGCACGTGGAAAGCGAGCGTGCTGAGTGTTTGCTAGAAATGCCAAAGTGTATGCACCATATGTATGTATATATATATATATATATTTGTATATATGTATAAATGTATTTATATATATGTAAACATGTATGTAAATATATGGGCATATATGTATATATGTATGTATGTATTTATATATTTATATAGTTATGTATGTATATATGGCCAAAGTGGTAGTGGAGCTGCGGCGCCGGTAGCAGGGGTCCTTGGGAAGCGTGCCCGATGGCGACTGAACAGCAGATGCAGGAAATGAATCAAAGGTTGATACAGCTAGGACAGATGCTGCAGGAATCGCGACGCTTTCGGCATAGGGACGGCCGAGCCAGTGGGTGACTTGGAAGAGAAATCATTTCAAGTAAAAAGAAGTTTTGCAGAGTTTACTTGAGGGAGAACCTTTCATGATAGTACGAAATACCGAAAGGGGAAACGGCTATTGCGGCTATGAATCATGGCGACGACTTAACAGACGATACGGCCCATCCACAGGAGCAAAGAAATCATCCCTCTTGAGACATCCTATCCCCTGGAAGATGCAAACTCGAAGAACTAAGTGAGAGGATAGAAGGATGGATGGAGTTGGTGAGTCGATATGAATTCCGAAAATCACGCACAGGAACAAGACAAGCTTTCGCAGATGACATAAAGATGTCGATACTAGAAGGTATGTGCCCAGCAGAAGCAGAAAGACACCTCCAGCTAAACAGGTCGAAGTCTCTGGACTTTGACGACAAGCACTCCGAGTTGGCAACCTCCTTGGAGACCTGCGTAGGCGTGAAGCTCAAAATAGAGTCACTTGGAAGCAGCGAGTGTGGAGAAGGTGACATGGAGATTGGTGCATTTGGAAAGGTGGTAAAGGTAAAGGAAAAGGTAAAGGTAAAGGAGGTAAGAGTAAAGGAAAAGGAGATAAAGGAAAAGGTAAAGGTAAAAGCATGTCAAAGAATGAAAAAGGTTCCCATAACAAGTCTGGCTCAAGTTCGGCAGCCGTGATTTGCTTCAATTGTGGCAAGCCGGGACACATGCAGCGAGACTGCAGAGCACCAAAAAAGAACAACAGCAGCAGCAGCAACGAGGGCAAAGGAAAAGGAGGAAACAAAGGTAAGAACAAGAACAGAAACTGAAGCGGAAACCGGATACCTCGAGTTAGCCATGTTGGGTGCCACTTCGGAAGACCCCGAAAAGATTTTGAAAGGTATGTATGCGGGGAACCCCACACCACCAAGTACAAAACGGCCTCAGGTGAACTTCTTGAAGATCATGGCCAAGTGAAGCTCTAGGGCACGGACCAGGACTACGTGGACAAGTCTATGACGGCACGAGTCACCGATGTTCACGGAATTTCTTGGCAAGCGGCAGTGAGGTGTGTAAGAAGAACACAGTTGTGTTGGATTCAAATGGGGGGCAGATAATCCCGGGTAATAGCAAAGCATCAAAGAAGGTTCAAGCGTATGTGGAAAAAAGACGGCCCAAAGTAATACAGTCTGAATGCTTGAGAATGAGAGTGGGGCCACGGGTTGAATTAATTTCTCATAATTTGTCCATCATCTGCTTACATAGGTCTTCCCGGCAACATGTCACTAATAACCCCAGATCTGCTTACTGGGGTTGCTTGTGGCCAATGGGATGGACACCGGCACCTCGCAACATCATATGTATATATATATATATTTGTTATGATTTAGTGATCCTAAAGCAGAAAGAATATTTTTTGGAGGGTGCAGGGTTTATGTTGGAATTATGTTGGCTGTTGGCAAAAAAATAATAATAGTTGGAATATAATATTTCGCCCCACCTCCCGGGAGGTCGAAAACAGGTTTTGGAGGGGATAGAATATTTTTGTTCAACGTGGCCCATTTACTTCAAAGCATTACACAATTACCCGTGTATATTCGTTTATAGTGATGACTATAAATACATATTCTGTAGGTATTGAAAGATAAGTATATAATCTACTAACATAACCCCAGATCCTGCTTGCCGTGACACTGCGGCACTGCGCGTGGTGTTCACGGTTCCCTCAAAATATTCCACCTACCTGGTTTGAAACATATTCTATCTATTTTTTAATCTATTTGTTTAATCTACTTTTTTAAAATGTTCGCGTTCATTTTTTCTCCACAACCGTGTCCAAAAATTGCCAAACATAACAGGGACGGAAAAAAATGTAAAACTGGTGGTTTTGAAAATAATCCAACTATTTTTTTGAAAACCAGGATTGAAAATGTCCGATATTCTATCTAGTCCAAGATTGCTATATATATATATATATATATATACATATATATACATATATATATATACATATATATATATACATATATATATATACATATATATATACATATATATATATGTATATTTACATATACACACACATATATATCTATATCTAGACATAAATGCAAACATATATATATATATTTATTACATATATACATATAGACATAGTTTCAATTCGTATATGTATATGTATATATACATATTAACATACAAATATATACATATATATATACAAATCTTTTTACATATAAATGTATATAAATTTACACGGGTATATATATATATATATATATACATGTGTAAATTTATATACATTATATATATATACATATGTAGATATATCGGATATATGTTTGCCACGATTAAAAATATGGACACTTTTCGTTCCGATTGCAAAAGCACTTACACTTTTCTTCTTGACACAAATGCTTGAAACATTTTTTTCATCCAGTGACATGTTTTAACTACAGAAACATTTATATTTACTGTTTTGTGATGAACATATTTGAAACAAGAAGCGACGACTCATTTTTTGTGTTCATTTTTTCGTTTATACAAAACTAGCTTTCAACAATTTTGATAGAATATATGTGGCTCTTTTTTATGTGTAAACACTTTTTGACATGTTTTTTCAAGAATATTTTCAAAGTCACTTCGTTCCCTAATTTCCATCTCTTGTCTGACCCGTTGTTGCGTCTTGGTCTTGTTCCCCCCTTGTCGTTCCCCGTTGTGTTCCCCATGTTGGGCATTGCTCACCTGTTGTATCTTCCCCATTGTGTGTCCCCTGTTGTTAATCCTCCTTATTGCGCTTGGCTTCCCCAGCTGAGAGACGCCTAGCCTGGAGGACCCCTAATTTTATTTATTGGATCCCTAGCTAGAACACCCACCCCCAAATCAATTTTAAGCGGTGCCGAAGGAGGGCGCGCCAATGATTCGACGCTAGCGATTTACTGTCATAAAGAGAACGTAGTAAGGCTGAATCAGGACATGGAAAATGATCATAACAACATGGAAAGGAACAGTTTCCAAAACGTTTGAAAACAACCATCATTCCAAAACGTTCCAGCACTGATGATTTTGGACTAAGACGAGACCTGGAAGGCGCATTTTTTGTTTGGCCATTTTGTACAAAACCTTTATTTTGGTAGTTTTCAATGATCCTTATCCCTTTTCCAAATTTGTAGTGAGTAGTGAGTAGCCACTTGGGATTCCAAAGACTTCGATTTTGTAGTGCATTTGGGTGCACCTTTTTGGATGATTCTGTAGACCCCTTTTCTGCGCAAAATCACCTACTCCCACCTTCACCCTGAATGAGCAAGAGGATAGTACTTTTATTAATGTAGGCAAGAGTCATGGAAAAAGTATTGGCTGAAGAAGATTGCGGGCCAACAAAGATGCGAGTCGAACAGGGTGTCTATGTGTTCGACTATTGGGTCGATCAAGAGACCACCAAAAAGAAAGCAAAGCAAGTTCGGGAAACTGATGGCAGGCCTAGCTGTAAGCCCGGTAGCTGTGGAAGAAGCGGAGATGGGGGAGTCTGGGGCCCCCGCCGGTTCGGCGGAGGACCCAGAAGAACCCATGGAGGTACGAAGGCCGAGAGTTGCAAAAGCGTTGCAACACCAACGACCCAGGAATTAGAGGAACATCAAGCAACCGCCCATGCGGTGCACAGGTCTTGGTGTGGACATTGCATGCGGGCTTGAGCGACTGCAGCTCGACACCAAACGGTTTCACACGATGAGGAGAGTGAAGTACCAGTGAGATCTTTCGACTACATTCGATTGCTAGTTCTTCGGAGAAAAGGAAGGAGACACAGCGAACTTAGAAGCGAAGGACTGTAGATCCAAGATTACCTGGGCCACCACCGTTCCTACGAAAGGACCAGAATTGTTCTCAGTGAGCTTTCTGTTATCCTGCATCAACGAGACTGGCTATCGCATGCTATCGGAGAATCATGTGAAAAGTGATAGTGAACCAGCAATCCTTGCACTTAAGAAGGAAGCAAAGGTGCAAGCAAAGGATGTCGAAATAGTGTTGCAGGAGGCCCCAGCACGGGACCATAGTGCGAATGGTGCGGTGGAAGCAGCGGTCAGGGATCAGAAAAGACAGATTCGAATTGAAGTCGAAGAGAACCTTGGAGAGCTGGACGACACTCATCCTATTTTGATTTGGCTGAGTCGACATGCGGCATTTTGCTTGAGTCGTTTCTCAATCAAAGATGATGGGAGAATTCCCTATCAGAAGTTGACTGGAAGAAAGTGGAACAGAAGGCTTGTTCCTGCTAACCGGGGGTTCAAATTGCAATCGAGGGTGCGCATTT